CTTGGAACTCGGCCCTAATGGAATGACAGAAGATGTAGAGTGGAAATACAGAAGAATGGCTCCAGGAGTCATGCAGTTTGCCTTCCTTTTTTAATGGGAAGGGTAATTTCATGGTTATTAACATCTGTGTCTGTATAGGGCAGGAGCCCAGCTCTGCCAGCCTCCCTCATCCTTGGCTGTGTTTATTTGCTCCTGCAGAGAACCTCCTGACTGTGGTGGTAGTTGAAATTACAAGTAATTCTTACAGCAGGAGAGAAAGGGTTGATGACACGCATCCTAAACCACAGAGGACTTTAATCCCATGTGTTTTAGGCAAGGGTCAAACTAAACTGTTGCATGCTGATGTTATTCTTCTTGACTTCAAATATGCTAGTGGCCAGAAGCATTTATCCTCCTGTTGCTCCTGTTGTTGTGAGGCAGTGGGTACCTGAAACACCCTGCTTTCATGCACCCAAGACATCAGTCTGCTGGGGTACTCTTTAGGCCAGATGCTTCCTGACCAAGTTAGATGCTACTTTGGAGTAAGAGGGAGAAACATCACAGGGTGAAAACAAGTTAAGTGACGTTCCCAGGTTACTCAGGGATTGGAGAAGAATCCAAGATCCTCAGGAGGTGACCAGCAGCAGTTTGTCCTTCTCTGCATTGCCATCTGCCCAGCAAAAGTAATTTTGCTGCTTGCAGGGCTTGGACCCTGTCTTACTGCCAATCTCCTGGGCAATTCCCATTTTTCCTTGCCTCCTTTCCTGCTCTTGGTAGCTGCTGCAGCTCCAGCATGGATGTCTGCTGTAGGTGCAGGCAAGCTGAAAACTGAAAGAGCCTGGGCCACTTCCCCAGAGCTCTCAGCTTCGAAGCCAAGCACACATGCATGCAACGTATTCATCATTACCCTGCTTTTAAAAGTCTTTCTTTGTTCCCCGAAGCTGCTCTAACATTAAAGTCGTCTTTGTTCCTCTCGCTGCAGAGAGGATAATGTGGCACCGATACTTCTGGGCAAGCATTTTGATGGGGAAGGTAGGACCTGTCCTGCGAGTTCAGACATCTGGGATGTCCACCCTCAATCTTCCTCAGAGCATTCCTACACCATCTGTTAAATCTGCCCTCCAGGCTGCTGCCACAACAGAGTCACTGTGTCGGGAACTCTTAATTTCAGTCTTGGGGTGGTGAGGCCGTGCCCTGTGCATGGACTCCATGTGGCCAGCTCCTTGTAGTGTCTAGAAGCCCCGCTGCTTCTGTGTGACCATTTGGCTTTAGAAGGTCTAAGAGATGGCCAGAGGGGTTGTGACAGAAACATGGGATGGAGAGAGGAAGATTCTGCAACAGATGGGCAGAAAGTGTGGGCAGCACTGCACTCGAGCACCAACTCTTATTAGCAGAACCAGCCTGGTGGTGCATCCCTTTCCAGGGCTCCCCTGGGGTGGGGTTGCCTTCTGCCAGGTTCACCTTCAGTTTTGCCAAAACATGCAGGACCAAATAGACTTCGGCCCCTCTGACCAGTGGCAGGATATGGAGAGAACAGTAGTTTTGTGAGATGGCTCAGAGCAGCCCATGTGGCTGTGTTTGAGGCTGCTCAGGCAGGATGTGCTCCCTGTGTGCACGTGTGACAGCAGCAGAAAAGCCCCATCCCTGGGCAGGCTGCTCATGGGTGGTTCAGCCCCCAGCCCCACGGCTACGTGCACTGAAGTGCCGTTGGCAAACCACCAGCATAGAATCATAGAATCAATGAGGTTGGAAAAGACCTTTAAGATGGACTGACTCTCCTCTTCCCAGCACAGCCACCCCTGCCCTGAGGCCCAGGTGGTGGATGGTGGTTAAGGCTTAATGAGGACTTTCTGATGAGTGTCCCCAGGGATCCCTGTTTTCCCTGGGCTGGAGCTGCTTGGTCGATGCCCTCCTTGTCTCTGGAGTGAGGGGTTGAAGCTGGATTTGCTGCGGCAGCCCCAGCATGTTTGTGTTAGAAACCTTTCTGCAGGAAGGTGAGGCAGCAGGACTTCCCCTTTCAGCTCTCTCGGGCAGCTGCTGTGGTGGGGAGATACCATCAAACACCCCATGAAATGGGCCAAGCAGTTACTGATGCCTTCAGAGCCTTCCCCAGCCTTTTTGCCAGTGCACCCCCCATCTAACTTCTAGGTGCTCACGACTGGCAGTGGACCCCAACCAAAAGCAGGGCTCCCACCAGCCCTACAGCCACCCCAAGGAGCAGGAGAGGGGCCTTGGCACCTTGGGGATTGCTTGGGGTTGTTACTCTGTAGATGGCCTGGGGTGATCATCAAGGTCTGCTGGCCCTGGCCCACTAGCCCCTGCATCACACGCTTCAGCTGTGAGGTTTTTGTCTGTTGCACTGCACTACGTGCATGAGTACGGGAGGTCCTGGCAGACCATGCTCTTCCCTGTAGCCTCCGTTGGTTTAGCTGTTGAGCTTAAGAAAGCATAGAATGGAAATTAGGAGTCCCCATCAAGACTCATCTATTAAACCCTCAAAGTCCATGTAATTTTTCCATACGTATCCGGTGGGCTGACGGCAGATTGCACCGATGGCTCACTATGGTTTGACACTTCCTTTCCTGTTGGTGTATTTCTACGCTCTGCCTCTCTTCCTCTGTCCGAGTGCAAGATCTTTAGGGCAGGGACTGGTTTAGTCTTGCAGGTTTGTGCACTGCCCAGCACAGCAGGACCCTGGCACCCTACTTGGGACTGTATCTCCTGATGTGACCTGAACAGCAGCAATAACTTTGTCCCTTGAGTTTCTGAGCTCTTTGGGTGTCACAGGGTTATTGGAGAAGCACCTTTGATTACAGCAAACACCTTGTACAAGTGGCTTTAGAATTAGATCTATAGAAAAATGAGAAATGATCCCAAATAACCAGCCACGTCCCTCAAAGCTGTAAAATGGAAGGGTTTTGCTTTCCCAAGCCTGAAGTACACAATGACATGTGTGATGAGTACCAGAGGTGTTGTTCTGTGAACCCAGAGGCGAGTCTCGATGCACTGGAGGATGGTGGTGGAGAGCGGTGGGCAGGAGAGGAGATCCATGGGGCTGGACCTGTTGAGCCACCAGCCTGGTGCAGAGCAGCACACGGTGCTCACAGGCAGGGAGGAAGCTGCTTCTGCCTACCGGGTAGGGGGATGTAACGTCTGGTTTTGACAGTTGCTACAACTTGTAACAGGAAACCATTTTAACAAAGAGGGGTGATGGAGGAAACAGAAATTTGAACGTACACATTTATTTTTTCCAGGCACTTACTTCATGGTGCTTCAGCTGCAGGTAAAACCAAACCTGTTTCTCAGCTGCCTGGTACCTTGGGGAGGCATTTGTGGGGGTGGAATGGCTTTCACCAGGTTCATACATATTCTTGCAGCCCATGTGTGCAAGCAGAAATGTTGACAAGAGGCACAGCAGCAGATTCATCCCAACATGAAGCCACCCCAGGACTGCACACAGTGTGCATCCTCCTTGGCCGTGGTCCTTGCTGGGCGAATGTGTGTCTGTCTGTGGATGTCCTGAAGCCATTGTCCTTCCATGCTCCCAGTGCTGGAAATGAAAAGCAAACTTATATTCTTGGCAACAGTGACTCAACTGAAAAAAGAAAGAGGACCTAAGGGATTTGTAGCAGATAATGGGCTGAATATGAGCACCTACAGAGATGCTGTTGTGACCAAAGGAACTGGTGTGATTGTATGCAAGGAGGGGGGTTACATTGCTGTTTTATCTGGTCCTTGTGCAGACACCACCGGAGCCTTGTGTCCTGCTATGGTGTCTGCACTTCAGCAAAAAAGCTGCAAAATGGGATCAAGCTTAGAGAAACGCCAAAGAGATGATTAAAGGATTGGAAAATGTGTTCTGTAACAAGACAGGCAAAGAGCTCAGCCTGCTTGTCTGAGCCGAAGTGCAGGTTGCAGGGTGTTTTATTGAAACGTGTGAGTATCTTGATGGGAACTTTGATAACAGAGAGCTCCACCGTCTTGCAGATTATAGTGATAGAACTCCGATGGCTCGCATGTGAAACTAGACAGGCTCTGAGTGGGGAAAAAGCACTGAAGGGGAAGGTGGTTTGTTAATTGAGCAACATGACAATATTTAAAGCATTTTCTCTCTGCGAACATGTAAATGCAGCAGGGTGCTTTTCTAGGAGACCTAAGCTCCAGGTCAGCTGCAGCTATTGCACATGGATTAGGTATTAACTGGGGAAGCCCTGTGACTGTGGTTATACAAGCACCCAGTCTGGGTGACAGCAGCCCCATGCTTCTGCACTTCCAGCAAAGGTGAATGGCAGAGGCGATAAGGACATAGAGGTTTGGTTCCCATTAGGTAGCCTGCCTGGGATGAGTGCCAGTGAGCTTTCGGAAACATTTCCCTTTGCTTTTTATTTCATGTGCAAATGGCACTGTTGGCAGGCCTGGACTGGGCAGGGGACACCGCCTGTGAACTAAAAGCAAGGAAATTCTCTTGAACAACAACAACTTCTTTTTCTGCTGCTTGCAGTGCTACAGCCTGCCTGTGCAGCACTCCGTCCTTTCCGGTTCACCTTCGAGAATGCAGTTTGTTGTTTTCAGTTTCCAGCACCATGCATGTGTGTGAGAAGAGCATGCGAGTGTCAGCATCGGTCATACTTCTCTAGTTGTGCTGCTTCAAGAGGTATTTTTGACACCACTTTGTATTCTGGAGCACACACTTTCACTTGGGGCTGCTAAAGCTGCACAGCAGCACCCAGCAGTTCTCTGTCTTAAACAGTTTTGCATAGAGTTAGCAGAGAAGGGCATGGGTGGGTAGTTGTGTTCCTCTTATTAAAAAAAAAGAAGGAGAGATGGCATAGAGATGTAGGTTAAATACACAAGAAAAGGAAAACGAGATAAACCGGGATCAGGTCTCCTGCAGTGCCGGCCAGTTGTGATTCTGATTTTGTCCTTTGGCACTTTCCCACTAGGTCTTCTTGCTGCTGTCTGTCTGTCTATCATCCTCTGTTTCCCTTTGGATTTAGCGTGGACACTGAACATCCAGAACCATGACCACTCACGTCACGCTAGAGGATGCCTTGTCCAACGTGGACTTACTGGAGGAGCTGCCTCTGCCAGACCAGCAGCCATGCATCGAACCGCCTCCATCCTCCATCATGTACCAGGTACCTTCACCTCCGGATGTGGCGGGGCAGGGAGGGTTGTTCTTTAGCTCACAAAAAGCACAGGGGCACATGGTGCTGTGAGAACTAGCCAAAAACATCCTGGGTTCAACGTGTTTAAGGAAATGCTCAGAACAGATCTAGCCACAAATCTATTCCCAAAGGCTTTAAATGGAAAGCACTAGGGATTGGTGAAAGGGATCTTTTAAGGTTGAGCAAGACACAGGGAAGTTAAAAATGGGGACCAGAGTGCTTGAATGGGTAGGAAACAGGAGGTAAGATTTGTGATAACAGCAGAAAGTTCTCAGCAATGTTTTATTGTGCACATAGTTCTGTGCTTCCTTTTTATGGCATGCACATATCTAAGGTCAGAATCAGCATTCTGCCTGACTTTGGCTGGCCTTTGCCGTTAGCACAGCTGGAGCCGCTGGTCTGGGGAGCTGGTGGCGTGCAAGGGAGGGCAGTCACTAGAATCACTTCTCTGCCTTGAACAGCCACAGATTTAGCTGCAGCTGCACTGACCAAGTAAAGCTTGGCATGAGCCCAGGGCAAGGCTCAACCTCCTGCTTTCAGATCCACAGCAGGATGCCTCAGCTGCTTGGCCACCACACCCTGCCCTATAGCACACACCCAGGGTTAAACATAATATGGGGTTACTTTCACCATCCTGCCACTCCAGAATTCATGGACTTGCCCATGGCAGTGTATAAATATACCCGCACAGTGATTGCAGTGCTGTGTACACAGGGGTCTGAAATTACAGTATCTCTTTCAGCAGGTCAGACTGCGGGCTCGTTCAGTAGCGTTAGTATCTCTGTGGGTTATCAGACCCAAAGGCAGTTCTGGGCCACTCACATTTCACCTCTCCCTGGAAAATCTTGATATTTTTTGCTTATCTCTTCTCCCAATAAATATTTAGTCTGTGCTGGCTTGTGTCCTGGGAGGGGCTCAGGGTCAGGCCTTACGGCACAGCCTCCTTTCAGGGCCATGAGTGTGTGCACACAGCTGGGGCTAAAAACCTCCTCTAAACTGGATCTCGAGGTATTGGCCAAGCCTGTTTCCTCATCATATTCAGTTTGTGTGTAGCCCTCTCCCTTGCTGGCCAGAAATGCATATGCAGCCTCAGCTTTTATTGTCACATAGTTATATGTGATGTCCTGGAGGCACTAAGAAGAGTAGTCCTGTGGCCATGGGTCGGTGCTCCCAGTTTTCCTACTCAGGGAATCAGTTATCAAGGTAAGTGTGGTTGCTGCAATGCTACTATCATTGCAAGGAGCAGCTCTGAGTACGTGGGACTCTGCCCTCTAGCAGATACCACCAGCCAGCCCTCACAGAGGAAAGTACCTGGGTGCAGAGCATGTGAACCAGAATGAGGAGCTGCTTGTTCATACCCTGCCTTGCTCTGCACTTCCTTGCTCCCCTGTCCTGACCCAAGTAGTAGCTCAGCTTCCAAAACAGCTGTTTGTCCCAAAGCATCTGCTAGCAAGAGCAGCACTAGCACTGATAACAACACCTGGATAAGTGCTGACTTTCGTATTTATGTTTTCCAGACATCCCACTCCCTGCCCTTTCTGTGTGTTTATTCTTTACAATTCCTG